TGGATGGATGATGGATGGATGATGGATGGATGGATGGATGGATGGATGGATGGATGGATGGATGGACGGATGATGGGCTGGCACAAGCAATGCTCCAGCACAGAGGTGGGGACTGCTGCCAGAGCCCCTGGAATGCCCCATGGAGCCCCCTCAGGTCCCTGCTCCTTCCCACCCACACCCACCCCATGTCTCCCAAGGTGGTCCCTCTGTGACAGTGCCACCCCTAATGCCACCCCACAGCATCCCCCACCAATGCTGCCCACCCACAGTGCCAGCCACCCCATGGCATCCCCCACCGTGCTGCCCACCCTACAGAGTCATCCACCCCTGTCCCCCCTTCTGTGTCCCCTTGTCCCCTGGCTGACCATGACGACGTTGGCGAGGTGAGCAGAGCAGAGGGCGTAGACCCCCCCCGAGCCCCCGACCAGGGGGGCCCTCATGTCCGTGATGGAGACCGTGAGGGAGCCTGGGGGCACAGACAGGGCTCAGCACGGGGTCTCGCCCCCACAGCATTCATTAATTACTGTTTACATTAATTAATTACAGCCTGCATTGCCCCCCAGCCTCCGGCCGAGTGATGCTGGCACTGCAGGGTGGCAGCCAGCAGAGCCCAGCATCCCCACCAAACTCGGTGTGACCTCCCCGTGCCCCCCCGGGCTGGTGACAGGGACGGGGGGGATGGGGACAGTCCCCCCGGGGAGCACCCACCTGCCAGGACCCCGGCCAGGTAGAGGAAGCTGATGCGCAGGATGCCGTGCACCATCTCCAGGGGCACCCCGATCATCAGCTGCAGGAGGGCGTTGAACCCCAGCTGCTCCAGCCTGCCCGGGCACAGGAGGGGACAGGCTCAGCCTGCAGAGCCCCCGGGGTGTCCCCAGCGTCCCCCCCCAGCGGGACCTACCCCACGTGCATGAACATGTAGGTGAGGAAGCGCCAGGCGCGCGCCCGGTGCCCGGGGTGATAGACCAGGGGGCTCTTCATGTACTCGGGGTGGTAGGTCTGCAGCACCCACTTGTTCAGCCGGGCCCCGTAGCACAGGAACACGATGATCTGTGACAAACCCCGTGGCTGTCACCCCCCTTCACCCCACATCTGAGCCCCACAAGGGCACCAGGATGTCACAGCTGGGGTCACCCATCCCCCCTGCCCCAGCTCTGAGTCCCACGCGTGGGCACAAGGAGGTCACAGACAGGGTCCTCACTCCCTTCGCCCCAGATGTGAGCCCCCCAAGGGCACCAGGACATCACAGCTGGGGTCACCCGTTCCTTCTACCCTGGATCTGAGCCCCTCCATGGGTCCCACCCATGAGCACAAGAACATCACCACTGGGGTCACCCATCCACCTCTGTCCCGGGTCTCAGCACCACCAAACGCACCAGGACATCACAGCGAGGGTCACCCAAACCTTCACCCCCTATCTGAGCCCCTCTGTGGGCACCAGAACATCACGACTGGGGCCCCCCAGCCCCACCGCCCCAGGTGTGGGCACAAAGCTGTCACCTGCAGGGTCACACATCCCTTCAGGTCAGCTCTGCGTGCACAGCAGCTCACAACCGTGCTGCCCGCCCCGGTCTGATCCCTGCCGAGGTCCCCGGGGCCCTCCCGCCGTGCCGTACCTGGGTGAGGGTGACGGCTGCCATGAAGACGGGGGGCGGGCAGGTGCGGTGCTGGTAGAAGTACCAGCGCCGGTCCATCTCGCAGGGCAGGATCTCGTAGGCCACGTAGCGGACGAAGCGTTTGTAGATGCCGAGGCCGGTCTCGTCCAGCAGGACGTCGCGGGGCAGCGCCCGCTGCCCGTTGGCGATGGCGCGCTTGAAGCTGCTGGAGCGCTTGCTGCTCATCTGCGGGGAGAGACCGCGGGGGCAGCTCGGGACCGGCCTGGGGCCGCCCCCGGCCCGCCGCCCCCTCCAGCCACAGCCCGGACGAGCCACCCCGCGCCAGGGGAGACCCTGGGGACCGCCGGTGTCCGCCCCCCTCCCCAGGGGCGCGGGGAGGTGCCCGGCGCCCGCCCCGGGCTGGCACCCGCGCCGCCCCCGCGGCCGCCCGGCACTGACCAGGTCTACCAGCTCCTGGTAGCAGACCTGCCCCTCGTCGTTGCCCTGTGCCAGGGCCACCAGCATGTCGAGCTTGGCGGGGTCCAGGGGCAGCTCATGGCTGTGCACCAGGCTGGCGAACGTCTCCACGCCGATGAAGCCGGTGTTTTCGGGGTCGAGCTGCGAGGGCACGGCGCGGAGCGTCACGGCGGCGCCGCGGCTGCGGCTCCCCGCTCGGCTGGGGACACCTCCCGCTGCCCCTGGCGCCTCACGCCTGGCTCCGTGACACCCGTCCCTGCCTGTGCGAGGGGCACGGCAGCCTGCAGCCGCCCTGGGCCGTGCCCCGTGCCGTGCCGCTGTCCCCGGCTCCCCGCGGCGCAGCCAACACTCTCCCACTCAGTTATTCCTCGCCGCCAGCAGCCTGCCAGCCAGGAAGCCACCAAGCTAAACACACGCGCAGCCCTGGCACCAGCCTCCTCCTCCTCCTCCTCCTCCTCCTCCTCCTCCTCCTCCTCGTCCTCCTCGTCCTCCTCCCGCCGCCCTTGCCGCCGGCCGCTGGCACCCACCGCGCCCTGCCCGGGGCACCCGCGCCACCCTCGGCGGCCAGAGCGGGCCGGGCACCCCGAGCCCTGCAGGGACAGCGCCCCACGGGCATCCAGCGCCACGGGGTGCCCGACACGGGACCGCTCATGGGCACAGAGAGCCCGGGATGGCACGGGAGAGTGGAGATGGGGAGAGGGCACCCACGGCCAGAGCACAGCCCTGCAATCACCCTGAGGTGCTGTGGGGCTCGCTCCTTGCTTCTGCGGGGAGGGGAGTGCGGGAGAGGAGCCTCACCCTCGTGGGATGGGCAGGAAAAGGAGTGCTTGGGACATGGGATCCTATCCCCGCCGGGTGGGCACCCTGTCCCTCCCTGCTCCCCCGGCAGGAAACAGCCACAGCCCCTTTCCCAAGGGGTTTGGCTGCCCGGAGAGGGGTGCAGGGAGGGATGAGGGGTGCGGGGAGGGATGAGGGGTGCGGGGAGGGATGAGGGGTGCGGGGAGGGATGGGGGATGTAGGGTGGGATGGGGGGTGCAGGGTGGGATGAGGGGTGCAGGGAGGGATGAGGAGTGCTGGGAGGGATGGGGTGTGCAGGGAGGGATGAGGGGTGCAGGGAGGGATGAGGGGTGCAGGGTGGGATGAGGGGTGCAGGGTGGGATGGGGGGTGCAGGCAGCACCTACAACCTCTCAGCAGCCACCAGCCCATGGGAGCAGCCCCAGCCATGGGGGGCGGGAGCACCCTGGTGTCACCCGTCCCCCTGCCCCACACCCATCAGTCACCCCACAGGCTCCACGTGTGTGTGTGTCACTCCGGGACCTGGCACACGCTGTCCCCACGCTGGCACATACTGAGCCACCGGCCCCAAGAGCGCCAAGAGCCCTGTCAGCACCCAGGGAACCCCTTTCTGCTTTTGGGGTGCATGTTCCCCCACCCCAACCTCACTGGCACCCTACGACCCCCCGGGAGGGCCCAATCCCCAGCCCCCAGCCCTCCCAGCGCTGCTCATTCCCCGGGAAGATGCTGCTCATTCCCGACGAGCTCGGGTTCACACGGAGTCCCCGTGCCCGAGGGTGGGGTGACATGGGGGACAGCACCGCGGCTCCCGGGCTGGGGGACTCAGCCAAGGTCACGGAAACAGCGGGGGGCGAGTGGGGGATCAGTTCATTTTCCTGACCCCCAGGAAATTCCTTCCCCATGCCCAGGGGAGAGCTGCCAGCTGGGCCAGGGCAGGGCGGGGATGGAGGGACGAGGCGCTGGAGTTCAAGGGGGGCTGCTGGGGGCCGGGGGACCGCGGGTGGAAACCCCTGGAGGCCCCGAGGTGCCGCGAGCAGAGCCCCACGCCGCGCAGCGCTGATGCTCCACGGCCTCATCCCGCAATCAGGTCACGGGGGGCGGTGCAGACCCCCGCCCCGCCGGCGGGACCGAGCCCACGGCACCCCCGGGGCTCCATCCGGCACCCAAACCCCGCCGGCGGCGCCGGGGCTCCGTGCCCGGCACCCCTCGTCCTTGAGGGCGCACCGGGCAGGATCCGAGCGGCGCTGGCGGAGGGAGAGGCCACAAGTGAGACGAGTCGCGCGTTCGCAGCGGCACAAGGCGGGGGATCCCGCAGGGCGGTGATGAGGGGCGCCGAGGGGCGCTGGCGGGGCTGGCACGGCCGCGGTGGCCGCTCTGAGCGGGCAGCGCTGCCCGCGGCGCGCCAGCCGTGCCCGGTGCCGCGAGCATCCCCGCCCCGGTAGCGATGGCCGGTGTCCGCCGGGGCCCCCCCCGAGCGCAGCCCGGTGCCCGGTGCCCCCCGGGCGGCCTCACCTGCTCCTGGATGAGCTGCAGCAGGGAGCTCCTGTCCATGCACCCGGCGGGCTGAGGGCTCCGCCGCTCCCCCGCGCCCGGGGCCGGCGAGCCGGGCAGGGGAGCGGCGCGGGCGGCGGGGGCGGCGGCGGGGGCGGCTCTCCCCGCCAGCCCCGCGTTGCGGCGGGCCCGGGAGCGAGCGGCGAGCGGCGGCGCCGGGAGCCGCCGATGGCAGCGGGGCGACGGCGGCGGCGGGGGCGGGAGCGGAGCCGAGCGGAGCCGCCCCCGCCGCAGCGCGCGGCGCAGCGCCCCCCCCTCCCGCACCCCCCGCCGCCGCCGCCGCCCGGGAACCGGGACCCGCCCCGCCGGCAGCGCCGGGACACGGCCCACGGCACGGGCGGAGAGCCCACACCCGGCGCTCGCAGCGCGGGATGGTGCCGGCATCCCGGTACGGCTGCGGACATCCCGGTACAGGTACCCACATCCCGGTACGGGAACCCGCATCCCGGTACGGGAACCTGCATCCCGGTACAGGAACCTGTATCCCAGTATGGGAACCTGCATCCCATTATGGGAACCTGCATCCCAGTATGGGAACCTGCATCCCATTATGGGAACCTGCATCCCAGTATGGGAACCTCCATCCCGGTACGGGAACCTGCATCCCGGTATGGGAACCTCCATCCCGGTACGGGAACCTGCATCCCGGTACAGGTACCCACATCCCAGTACGGGAACCCGCATCCCGGTACGGGCACCTGCATCCCATTATGGGAACCTGTATCCCAGTATGGGAACCTGTATCCCAGTATGGGAACCTCCATCCCGGTACGGGAACCTCCATCCCGGTACGGGAACCTGCATCCCGGTACGGGAACCTGCATCCTGGTACAGGTACCCACATCCCGGTACAGGAACCTGCATCCCAGTATGGGAACCTGCATCCCGGTATGGGAACCTCCATCCCGGTACAGGTACCCACATCCTGGTACAGGTACGCACATCCCGGTACAGGTACCCACATCCCGGTATGGGCACCTGCATCCCGGTACGGGCACCTGCATCCTGGTACCAGTACCCACATGCCAGTACCGATACCCACATCCCAAATTGATAACTGCATCCTGGCATGACACCTGCATCCCAGTGTGGTATCTACATCCCAGCACTGGCACTCACATCCCAGTACTGGTACCCACATCCTGGCCCAGTTCCTGCCTCCCAGAACAGCTGTGTGGATTCCTGCATCCCGCTCCCCGTGTCCCAGCACTGATACTCACACCCTGGTATGGGACCTGGGTCCTCTGTGATCTCCGTGTCCCGGGACAGGGTCTGCATCTTGGAATGGGGACTTGTATTGCATTTCCAGTACTGCATCCCAGTACAGGTACATGTATTCCTGCGTCCACATCCTGGTACATGGTTTTGCAGCTGCACCCTGCTAGAGGAATCCATATCCTGGTACAGTACCAGCAGCCCCGAATGGCCAGCAGCATCCCAGAATGGCCACCAGCATGCCAGCACCAGGTACCTGCTGAATCTGGCAGAGGTGACTGCAAACATCCCCTCAACCTGAGCCGGCACCCACAGGCCAGCACAGTCCGGGTACATCCCACAGGCACAGGGGCCACAGAGCCTGCCCTGCTGTCCCCTGCCCAGCACCGTGCTCATGGGACAGCCTGGCACTGCGCCCCTGCAACTGGCACCTCTACGGGACGTGCCCAGTGTCACCCAGGCCGGGCTCCCCTGGCTCCCCAGGCAGGGCAGGGGTGTCCCCAGGACCCATCCCTGGTCCTGTCCTCACTTCCCAGAGCCGTGGCTCAGCCCCAGCGAGGTGCCCAGGGAGCTCTGGGCTCCCCAGCCCTGCAGGCTTTTCCCTGGGGAGGGGCTGTGGCCGTGGGCCCCCGGCTGCCAGGCGTGTGCCCTGTCCCTCAGCTGTGTCTGTGCCAGCACAGCGCCCGTGCCCCGCACACCAGAGCTATTCACACCCAGCAGGGCGCGTGGGCCCGCAGCTCCCGTGGGATCCAGCCTGGTTTGGAGTCACCAGGGAGCAGCGCGCGTCCCGTCCCCCTCGGGATCGCCTCCTCTGCTGGCACGGCAGCACGGCTGTGTCCCCCAGCCCTGTCCCCTGGCCGGCCGTGTGGGAAGGGTCCCCTCTCCCACCCCCCAGCCCACAGCCATCCCCCCTCATGTGGGAGCGGTCCGACCCCATCCAGTGCCAGTGCAGAGGCTCTGGAAAATCCTTTTCTCCGGTGCCCAGAGCCCGTGGCTGAGGCTGCAGAGACAGAAATAGCTGAGGGAAAAGCTGCCATGGCAAAACAGGAGCAGGGAGGGAAGGTGGAACAACCCTGGGAGCTGCAGGTGCAGGGAGAAAGTGTCTGCAGGGAAGTGGGGAGCCCCAAACCCCACACGGGGACAAGCACAGAGATCCACAGCTCCCAGGGCAGCCAGAGCTCCTGCTTCCCATGGATCCCGGGCAGAGAACCACGGCATGGATCCATCGCCTCCTTCCCTGTCTCTCCACCCTGGCTGGCACTTGTACAAGGATCTGTGTCCCCAAGCACCAAGGAATCCTGGCCAGCCCCAAGCCTCATCCCACCACACCAGGCCCTAAATGGCAGAAACTGCCCCCAGCGGGGCAGCCCAGGCAGGGTCCTGCTCCCCAGGTGACACAGGACATGGTGTGCAAGCGCAAGGTGTGTAAAAATTTATTTTGCCGTAGAGAACAAACCCAAAACATAACAGCCCCAGCAGATGTGGAGCAGGGAGACACCAGGCACGGGCCTGGCTGGCAGAGCCACGCACGGGGGCACAGAGAAGGACACTGAACACGAGGGACATGGCCCTGGCAGTGCCAGGGACCAGGGGCCAGCAGTGAGTGTGTGCCCGACGGGCAGAGCAGCTCCAGCACAGGCAGGGACACCCAGCTGGGGACAGCAGGATGGGGACACCACCCTGGGGGTGTCCCTGGGAGATGCCAGTGCTACCCTGTGATTTCTCCATCCCCTTGCTGGCTCCAGGCCACGATAAAACATTTAAATAGACAAAACACAGAAAAAGCAGCTCTGGGTGCTACCTAGGAGCTCCCCCACAGCTGCCCAGAAAGTGCAACCCTGAGCGTGCTGGGGAAGGCCAGGCTGGTGCCAGGGCCAGGCTGGTGCCAGGGCCGATCCAGGCTCCCCTGGGGGGACAGGAATGCAGGGATGGGTGCTGGCCTTGCTCTTTGGGACTTGCAGACAGGGACATTGCCCCAGTGGGTGCTGAGCTCAGCCCCAGCAGCTGAAACCAGCTCAGGTGTGGGCAGGGCACACGAGACAGGACTGAAGGAGCTTCCAGTGGTGCCAGGAGATGCAATGCCCAGAGCCCCACACTCTGGACAGAGCCCCCACAGAGGGGACAGCAGGTCACAGGGCCTACCTAGGGCACAGTGTGGCACCAGCTCAGTGATGGCACTGCCAGGGAAAGACTGGGCACACAGTGGACATCCAATGCCCTCCAGTCCTTACCAGGGCTCCCAGAGCCTGCAAATACTGCTGGCCATGAATACTGGTGGCCAGGGGTGGGGAGGAGGCAGGAAAGGAGGGCAGATGGACCCAGAGCCTGGCACGCTGCAGGCCTCACAGGATTTCTGTGTAGGAACAAGAGAAAGGAGCTGAGGACAAACCCTGGCTGTCACTGCCCCCCTGTGTCCCAGCAGGAGGGGCCAGGCCTGGCCACACACTGGGGCTGGGGGTGTCGGTGCCTGGCCCTCCCTCCCCGGCTGCCTTTGCCAGCGCTGGCTGAGGGAAACCGGGGCAGGAGATGGAGCTGTGCCCCAGGGAGCTGCAGCCATGAGCTCATCTGACAGCTCAGCTGCTGCTGGAGCTCCCAGAGGCCCCGGGAGCGTTGTGCCCTCCAGAATTGAGGGCACCAGAACAGCCCTCAGCGGAGGGGATGTGCCAACAGACACTGAAACACTCATGTTTGAGCTTAAAAACAAGCGTTAAAAAAATTGAACAGAATAGAATACGAGGGTGATCCTCCAGCTGCTGGTGAGGCAGAACTCTCCTGGCAGAGCTGCCTGCCCTGTGGCCACGGGGACCAGGAGGCCACAGGGTGAGGCTGGCCGGTGCCAGGGGTGGATCCTGCTGGTGCTGAGAGGTCTGGCTTCACTGGTCCTGCAATCCAGGCTGGGGCAAGGGAGGATTTCCTACCAGGGGCCAGCCTGAGGCGGGGCCCCTCTGGGCGTCGCTGGGGATGGGAGCTGGTGTCACAGGGACGGAGTGGGGAGTGGCTCTCACTTGTTCTTGGCCAGCAGGCGGTACAGGGTGAAGCCCACCAGCGCCGTCACCGCCGCCCCCAGCGCCAGCCGCAGCCAGAAGGACGCGGCTCCCAGCTCCACGGCGTTCAGGTGGCTGCAAGCAAACACAGGAGAGGCTGCTGAGCGCGGCTGTCCCGCTGCTCCCACCCCACACAGGGAGCCTGGGGGTGCCAGGGGTGAGCCCAGCACAGGGGGGAACAGCCCAGTGAGAATCTGAGAGACTCCCCGACCCTGCAAGCGGAGCTCTCGTCACCCGGCATCACCATCCAGCCAAGGGAGGGCTGTGGGACGGATGTGGCTGTCCCCTCCCCTCCCCTGGAACAGCTCTCCAACACCTAAATAATTATACAGGTATCTGCCTTTCTAGGTCAAGCTGCCTTTCCAACTCCCAGTGCACAGAGAGCCGGGATGCCACCACGGGGACACTGGTGACAGGGACCAAAGGGCAGCGAGGGACAGGGCTGGGTGCTGCCCCAGTGTACACATTCCCTTCCCAAACACGTGCTGTCCTGCACTAACGTGCTCCTCTCCTCTCTCTCCATCCATAATTCATTCCCCACTACATCCGGGGAGCACAGCCAATCCCCGGCCCTCCATTACGCTGTTATTTATTTATACCACATACCCTAAGATATATTAAGAATATTTAAATTTTAATACTGCAGAGGGGAGGAAAAAAAAAACGCGTCAGCTCTAAAAATAAAGTTGTTTATTGAAAAGAAGCTGGAGGGAAAACTACTCACTAGTAATCCCATCCTGCCTTCCAATGCTCCCACATGCTCTCCCCGCCAGGGCTCAGCCTCTGGAGC